AGAAGCCGGTCACCAACAGAACCTTGAGATGTCTGGTCCCGGACTGGCGGCTACGGAGGAGGCAGTGGGACCTCCGGAGTTTCACAATGGATACAGCAGCGACTCTCGCGCTCACTACACCTCACACACTGGCGGTTTCGATTCCCCATCCGCACATGTATCTCGAAACCAAGAGAATGATCAGTCTCGATTTGCCGAATCTCCGACATTAACTCAACAACCACGCCCGCCGTCATCATCGAGGCCGGGTTCCGGATTGTCTAGCGGCCCTGAACAGCGACAAGGAATTTCGCAAACCTCTCAAGATGTCAGTCAGAAACAACCATCCCAACCGACGAAGAATAGTGTGGTGATCAAGGTTGGAATGGTTGGGGATGCTCAAATTGGCAAGACAAGTTTGATGGTTAAGTACGTGGAGGGCAGCTGGGACGAAGATTATATCCAGACTTTGGGTATGTTATTCTTTTGGACTCGTGCTGCATTATTCTGACGTTATCAACAGGGGTAAACTTCATGGAAAAAACAATCTCCATTAGAAACACGGAGATCACTTTCTCGATCTGGGATCTGGGCGGTCAACGTGAATTCGTCAATATGCTTCCGCTTGTGTGCAATGATGCCGTCGCGATTCTGTTTATGTTTGACCTCACCCGCAAGAGCACGTTGAATTCCATCAAGGAATGGTACCGGCAGGGCCGTGGATTCAACAAGACAGCTATTCCTTTCCTGGTCGGCACCAAGTATGACCACTTTGTCAATTTTCCTCGAGAAGACCAAGAAGAGATTTCCATTCAGGTAGGCAGGCTGACCCGGATCATGACCGGGCATGTGCTGATGATTTCTCAGGCCAAGAGATTCGCCAAAGCGATGAAAGCGAGCTTGATCTTCAGTAGTACTAGTCACAGCATCAACGTGCAAAAGGTATGATCGCGTGGAGATGAGCTCGTGCTGTGCTAACAGAGATTTAGATCTTTAAGATTGTCCTTGCCAAAGCCTTTGATCTGAAATGCACCATTCCCGAGATCGAAAACATTGGCGAGCCTCTCTTACTCTATAAGAACGTTTGAACATAACAACGGCAACACAGAAGTGGTACGATTGTCATGTATATTGGGATGAAGTGATGTTGACGACGACCTGAAATACCTTTGCTCGTCATTCTTGTGAGCCAGAGGGATCCGCTGAGTCTGGAAGGGTCAGACCGAATCTGCCAGTCGAATAATCCTACTTTCTCTGCATACTCTGCCCTTTTCTTTTGTTCTTTCTTGTTTCCTCTCTCTTGTCCACAGCATTGGGTTGCGTATTGTGCTCATGGTTCTCACTCCTTGCCTTCATCTCGTGTCTAAATTTCTTTTCTCTTTTTATGCTCGAATATGGCGCTTGTGTCTTCCTTGACTGTTGCTGAAACGCAGGCCTGTTCTGGGGTACAATCATTCGAGCCGGCTTTTCTCTTTCTTCTCGGTAATCTTTCTAGTCGATGGTTCTTCTGTGTTTAAATAGGTTAATTACATGAATCCTGTCAATCCTCGGTAGCATCAAATTCGTCCTTTCGTTGCTATGGACACCTCAGGCACCAGTTCCCAAGCCTTGTGGGGTCAGGATCTTGAGGTGGGGGAAAACACATGTGATTCGCCCATAGGCGCCAGGAACCAGATGCGCTGGTTCTTCGTTCAGATGCAGTCAAAGAAATAACACCTGGTCGGCTCGAGGAAAGAACTGCCTGGACCTCAGACTCTAGGTAGTCAGCCTTGCGAGCCTTAGAAAACAGTCACAGGCTCACAGCCTTGTTTCAAGAGCGCGGGGGCCGCAAGTATGGGCGGCCTATAAATTAGTGGCCTTATTTCCGCTTCTTCAACACATTATTCATTCTTTTTCTTCCCGTTCGCCTAGGGGTCTTTTGGATGTCGTTGTTGGATGCGTTCTTGAGGGCGCGTTAGCTTACTAGCATTTGGTGTCTTATTCTCGCTCTTTGGTATATGCATTAACTGCATCTTGTAAAACCGAGGACATGGCGGAAGAAACTCCAGTCCTGACAATTCAGGAGAGGATCAAGGCGCTCAAACTAGCAGGATCACAGCCGACTCCGTTCTTACGAGCCCAAACAATTAACAACCCTCCCGCCAACGGTCACGGTTCTGTCATTGAGCACTCGGTGATCGGCAATGAGCCAGCAGCACCCCCTACACAGGCCCCACGATCGCCATCGACAAGGCCGTCGATCACCCTGAAATCCAAGGCGCCGCCGCCGCTGCCAACACGGAAAGCTTCCAATCAGCAACTTGCGCCTTCGCTGCCACCTCGCAGGCCATCGGTGAATTCTATTGAATCAGCTGCATCTGATACGTCCCGGTCAACCGCATCGACAAGTGTGGGGAGACCTGTACCAGGGCGATCATCTTCCTCAAGTGAATCTGGGAACGTTCGTACGGTGCGTGCACCGCGATATGATGAGGCAGAGTTGCCTGTCCTCCCTCCGAGAAGAGAGGAAGCGAAAAGTCCCAAGGCGCCTCCACGGCCGAAACCGACCATGACACAGAGCAGAGATAGTCTACCGCCTCCATTACCATCGATAAGAGAACCGCCATCTCTTCCCTCCGCTCGACCTGCATTGCCCATTCGTCGAGCGTCAAGCAACGTCAATCTGAAGAATGGGGATGCAGCGCCTCTGCCGCCCCCGCGGGTCCCGTCACGAGACAGTCAGGGCCAGTCGCCAAGCGCAGAAGGCGAAAGCAAGCCGGCGAGAAAGCTGCCTCCGCCTCCCCCTTCGGGCTCTGCTCTGGGCAAATTGCATCAGTCAGGTTTTGGAGGATTGAACAAGACTGCGCACTCCACGCTCAATGGTGCACCGCCGCCGGTCCCCCTCGCGTCAAAGCCAGAGAAACCGGACCTTTCCAAATTACTAGCAACCAAACCGCGTGTTCGGCGAAATACTACAACTACCGAGCCGACAGCGATGTGCTTGAAATGCCGAGACTTCTCCGGCCCCGACTCGCACGCCGCCAGGTTTCCGCGGGAGACTCTCCCAACACATGATCTTGCCTGGCTGGCCCGCGAGCTTACAGCACCATTCCCTTCACCGACAGACAAGGCGAGAGCCTTGTTCACCTGGTGTCATCATAATATTTGCTATGATGCCGATGCATTTTTCAACAATTGCGTGAAGCCATCGACACCGGCAAGTACTCTTGCTTCCGGTGTCGCCGTGTGTGAGGGCTACGCCGGGCTCTTTGCCGCCCTCGCAACCCATGCTGGATTGGAGGCGATTGTGATTGGTGGCCACGGCAAGGGCTATGGGTATCACGCTCTGGGACCCGGGCAGAGTATTCCTCCTTACAGCGCAGGCCATGCATGGAATGCAGTCCGGATCGACAATGGGCAATGGAAGTTGATCGATGTGTGCTGGGGAGCTGGAGTAGTTCAAGGACCAGGACAGCCATATAAAAAGCTCTTCAACCCGACCATGTTCACCATGACGAATGATGAATTCAGCGTAAAGCACTATCCTGAGGCAAATGAACACCACTTTCGAGATGATGGTCGACCAGGGATGAGCTGGGAGCAGTATATCACCATGGACCCGGAGGTCCCGTTTGGCATTGAGCGGCCAAGGACTTTCGACGTACAAAGCCATTTCATTAACGAACGCAGCTTCTTACCGGCTGCCAAGCAGATCGCGGTTTACCAGCCGGGACCGCTTCGCTTTCAGTTCGGTCTCATCTGTGAGCATTTCACGCTGGAGCGTCACGGGAAGGTCAAGCCTAGCCTGTTTCTGCTGTGGACCCACGGTCTTGATGGACGGAAAGACGAACTTATTCCTTTTACCTATGTTCGGGGCAGTGGGCCTGAGTTCTGGTACATCGATCTCGAGGATCCAAGGACACTGGGTGCGCCTGGGCAGAAGCTCCAACTAGCGGCGCTTACTGAGTTTGGAGATCGGAAAGACTGCAGGGGGATCTCTGTGGACGAATACAAGGCGAATGTTGGACGGGTTCGTATGGCGTTTTCGTTTGTTGCCGAATGGGCCCTCGTTTGATCAGGACGGGAATAAACGGCTCGTTGTTATTCTAGTTAATACCCGGACTTGTCTATATTACCTTTCTTCCTTTATCCTCCGAGAAGGATACTAGATAGTCGATCATGATAATCAGATGAAGTCATACCATTGCAGGCGAATCCAAGTAGAGGACTCGTCTCTGCTTCTGTAAGCTTACTTCAATCTGACTGAAAGAGCTTTCTCTCTTCCATCTTTGAACCACTACTTCTCTAATAGACAGTGTAGGATGTCGATAGGTTGTATTTTCCCATACGACATACTCTGATGAAGTCTATCTGTAGTTCTGTATCGCCCCGCTTTCCCCGCTTCCCCAGACTGGAACCATAAAATTACTCCAAGCTGCTACAGACCACCTACAATGTCGCACCCGCGCAGAGAACTGAAGAAGAACGCGCTTGTCGAAGCAATCCAGCGCAAGGACATTGCAGAAGTCGCCCAGATTTGGATGACGGAGTCTCCCCCAATGGGCCCAGCTTAGACCACCCCGCAGGCCGATAATCTCCCTGCCGTCAGGGCGCTTCTTGCTGCCTCGAGTACAATGACTACCTACAGGGTATCCTGCTCCACTGCGCAATCGACAAGTCGGGGTTGGCGACGGCTCCACGATTGATGTCTCTTGGCGACTGGGATTGCGATAGCTTCACGAATGGGATGCTGGAATAGTGGCAGATCTGTTGGATAAGAGACTACCATGACGTCGGCCCAGGTGATACATTTGTCTTGAAATACGGGCCTGTCTGCCAGGAAAAGGTGCCTTGTTGCTTTGGAGTGCGGCAGGAGCTTCCACGACATTCCTAATGCGGTCTATAACATGAGCCAGGAATCAACATAAAAGGGCCACCATGCACCTGGCATTCAGTCTCTCCCAGACAAGCAACACTACCTCCAGCTGCCTTTCCATCTCATCTCAGTGACCTCAACCAGCTCCCATAACCACTACAACGGGATGTTTACCCTCAGATCCATCCTCGGCCTCTCCCTCATGATAGCCCCTACCCTTGTCGCCAGCTTCGAGGACATCTACTTTGGCTCCTATTCGGGTGAAGGCCTCGGCGGCACCTGGAGAACTCCCAGTCAGATGGGCGTCTGCTACTACCAGGTCATGGTCGGCGATCAATCCAACTGTGATGGCCTCCGCACCAATCCCGCTGATGGCTCCGGCGGCTGCCCGGGACAGAACTTCAGCGGGCCTAACTTCTGCCATATGCCCATCCCTGGACTCCCAGAAGGTTACGAACTCGTTAAGTTCCATCCATGGAGGTTGGAGTGGAGTGGCTTTGATAAGAAGGGAGACTGATTTGCAGAATAGACCGCAACGGCGGTGACTGCCCCTCTGATGATGAAGCAGCAGACGGAGTCTGGTACGCTGAATATCACTGACAAGAACAATGGAAACGTCAAGGTCGGACGCTGTGTCTACGAATACAAGAAGGGACCCAACTGCGCAAGCACTGGAAGCTTCCTGACCAACAGATTCGTTCACTGCTACCCTGACGCATAAGCGGTCTGAAAAGCTAGAAACAGTCTCAGAAAGACGGTGAACGGGCGGAATGATATATGGTGGAGTGACATGGGGGTTTTGAGCCGGCCAGCACGTGTATAAATGGGAGGTGGATCTGGTAAAGGGGTGACCTCTGTCTGGCTGCAATAGGAGGTGGTTCCATATTTCGTCTGTATAGATTGTGATTTAATCCTGCAAGTAGCTCGAATATGGATTGAATGCACATTAGAGAGGTATACTCGCCTTTTCCGTCGGCGATATAGATCAGGGCCATGGCGCGCTAAACTATATTCGATTAGCGTACAACGAAAGTCACGTGGATACAGTAATTAGTAACGGCTTCAATTCCATGTATCAACAGCGACATGATCTCATGACAGACGCTAGCCAAGCAGTTAATCGCCAAGCAGGATGACAACATAATGGGAGATGTAATGACTATCAAAGAAGCTTTCGATGCTGCTTACGAATTCTTGAATCCAGTCCTTCAGCGAGGCACGCAAACCACTCAGCAGTTCAGGCGATTTTTGAATATTGATGCTGACTAACTGAAAGAGGAAATTCAGAAATATCGCGGGAAATCCCTCCCGGAGATTTTGAGCCAGCATTTACCTGCTGGGACTGGAGATGATGGCTCTAAAAGGACAGTCGTTGTCGAAAGAGCGTTGGGCATACTCTTTCGCATCCATGTGGCCTTCGTAACGCCAGTAGATCAAGCCCACGGTTCACCTCAACCCGATCATGTATCGGAAGACGCTGCTCTCGAGGATGCAAAGAGGAGAAGAGTGCTGCATGCGATACTCGACTTGATATCTCTTGAGGGTGTCTACCCGTCTCTCTCTCCAGGAGTAGGAATACCCCTCCAGCAAAGAGTCATTTCAGTGTTGCCTGCTGGTGTGATTGCTCAGCAACAGGACAAAATTGCGCATGACAAGCCTCAGCATATGCTCCTTCTTGAGCGCATCATGGATATCCTCTCGGATATTCTTTTCGATGGGAGACCTAGCATACAGCCCGTTATTCGCGGTCGCATTCTGAGCGATTTAATCAGTTCTGCGGCAGACTTGGCCTACAATCCGAGCATCCCACATCTTGATACCAGAGGAAAATACGGCGAGATACTTTCTAGACTGATTGACGAGTATGTCTAAGCCTTCGCCCGTACTTCGACGACTAACGAGAAACAGAACACCCAGCTCAGTTCTCTTATCAACATTGTCAAGCTTTCTTCAGTCAAAACCTGCTCCCTGGTTCAAAAGCCTAGTGTCTAGTCAACTTTCGCGGGTTCCTCTGCGTGAGGACGGAGTGTTGCAGACAGTCGTGTTTTTAGCCTCCCAGTTTGCTCCTTCCTTAGGGCAAGAGTCTCAGGCCCAGCTGTCAAATGGCCCCCATTTCACTGTGCAAGGCATCATGCAGACATCGCGGTTGCTTTCTTCAGTACCTGAAGGGATGGACCCGAACTCCTACTTTACAAGGATTGCTCCGCAGCTTTTAGCATTGCTGGACGGCGAGGATCCCGACTTCAAGAAGACCGCGGCATATGTTATTGGCAACGGCATACTAGGTAAGCGAGCTTATGGGGCCCCCGGGACAATAGGTCACTCAATCTTTGTGGAACCAATCTATAAGATACTTGCGGGGGAGCATGATGCTTCGACGCATCAATGGATGAATGTGTCTGGCAAGGACATACAGAGCCCGACAGTCATTTGTGAACCAACCTTGCTGTTGGCAGTTGAAAGACTGACTAGCTTGACACTTCAACATCCGAATCCTGGGCTTGTCAAGAGACTTGTGTATCCCATTCTTTTACCACTCTGGGGATTGGCTTGTTTTTCCCTGGAGCAACAAAGACCAAAGCTCCATGAAAAAGTCATGGCAATCTTACAGACATATTTTGGCATATCGGTCGGTATCCAACCTTTGAAGAAGCTGGTCGATAATCTGCTATGGGATGGTGGTGCGACGTGGACTTATGGTCTGGATTCCCACAACCTCTTGGTGTTAGAAAAGCGTAAAAGCGCGGGATCGGAAAGATCGAATATTGTGCGACTGGTTGATACACTACAATCCCGGGCCAAGCTCTTTGTCACTTTACTGGGAGCTGACCCGAGTAGCGAAGAACGGACTGGCGATATCTTTCTATATGTGAGCCAGAGTTGGCTTGTCCAACCAGCACAAGAGCGCTCCTTGGACCGACTGCAGTTGCCTTCGGATACCGATGATTCAACCAATATCATTCAGAAATTAGTAAGCGCAAAGCTGGCAGAAGTCCTCCTGGAAAACTTCAAGGATACCCTTTCACGGCGGCCACTTCGAGTGCTTGAGCTCATAAAGCAAGTTATCGAAGGCGAATTGAACAGGGTCAAGGTATCTCAGAAGATCAAACCTCAAGACTCCAAAGGGGTGTCACTTTCGTCCTTAGCAAACATCGCTTCGAATGAAAATCACGGGCACGAGGAAACCGTGACCGGCAATGACGCAGCAGAGTCACTGCCGGCTGTGTTCAGTTTACTTTCCACCGTGCTGGCATCCCCCGAGTTTTCTGTGACACAGGAAATGTTGCCCGTTCTTCAAGAGCTGAAATTAGTGCTCGATGAGCTGATACCGCATCTACCATCATCTCTTGCCAAGCCAGGCACAACCTCGTCGATGCTGTTGGAGATCCATATCACCTCACCCGAAGAAGGTGGCGAGGCAAAATCGTCTGCTCAGATCTCGGACTTTGAAACACATCGCCGAGCATTGACCAATCTCAATTCTGATCTCCCACCCGTGCAAGCTGAGGGGTTCTCACTCCTCTCTGATCTTATCAAAAAATCCTCGCCAGTTCTAGACATACCCTCTACATTAACCCTGCTTTTGTCGGTTATTACCGATCAATCCGGATCGGCCGCCGACGACGAATTCATATATCTAAACGCAATCAAGTTGATCGGCACGCTAGCATCGAGGCACCCACACACTGTCGTGAAAACACTGGTAGACCGCTACATCGACAGAGCCGAAACCGTTGGTCTCGACCAGAGACTTAGAATCGGAGAGTCCTTACTGCGAACAGTTCAGGATCTCGGAGAGGCCTTGACAGGCGAAACAGCAAAGATTCTCGGTGAGGGTATGATTACTGTTGCCGGACGGCGAGCACGCAAAGTGCAGACGCACAAGCGTCGGAAGGAAGAGCTCGAGAAGGAGAGACGAGCAAGAGAGCGCGAAGAGCGCCGAAATAAGGAGCCCGCCATGCCTCCAGGATGGACCATCACCACAACGCCAACCAACTCAAAGGTCGAAACAGCCGAAGAGGACGCTTCCGATGCTGAGTCTCCAGAGCAAGCTGCCCATCTCTCAAACATCCTGTCCGCCTGGGCCGCAGGTACTCACCCAGATGAAGAGCCAGATGACTTCCGAGTCCGGGCGTCTGCGCTCTCTGTCTTGGCTTCCGCGGTCCAAACTAATATCACAGGTCTCGGCCCATCGGTTGCCTCATCCGCAGTTAATCTAGCGCTCGACACCCTCACCCTCGAGCCTGGTCCTGAGTCAGCAATCCTCCGCCGCGCAAGCGTCGTCCTTCTCCTCGATATCCTCAAAGCAATTGATGCCGCGAGGGAATCACGAGGAAGAGAAGGGCTGGGATTCGGCTTCTCCCTCTCCGACGAAAGTGCCCGAAACCACTGGGAGAATCAGGATGAAGAATCCCGTGGTCCCGCAACAATAGGCAATATCCCTCATATGCTTCGCGTTCTGGCCTTCGTGGAAAGCAAAGAAACAGACACCATTGTTCGTGGTCACATTCGCGTGCTGATTGAGAGCTTGGAAGCGTGGTTGGAGAAGTCGCTACTATGGGGTATTGGCACGCAGGGCGGAGATGCAGATGAGATCCAACCGAGATTGGAGTTGGGCGATAGGATAGCAGGTCTAAGCATCGATCCGATGGCTGATAGACAAGGTGCAAGACCGCGAATTGAAGAAATCGAGTGATTTCGCCGTCCTGTAACTAGTCAAGAGTGTTTCAGAATCACTGTGCGCAACGCGATATAGAATGACCTATAATGTGTCTAAGATCATCCATGGATTACTGTCGCGTGATTGTTCACTCTCCAATCTCGAAATCACATGGCCATCTGAAACATAAATTGCTTTTAGACTCATCAATTCAGTTATCATTAAGCTAGGAGCCATTTTGCACACCACTCTCGTAAAATCATTTCGATAGGAACAACAAAGCCAGTAAATCCCACCGATAGCCGCGCCATCCCATTGAAACACCTAAGCCATCGATCAGGTACCCAGTGAACGTTCCAGGCCATTACAGCCATCCCACCCAGTCCTCATACATGACGGGAAAGTCCTTGATCAACACAAATTTGGCCGTGAGATTGAGAAAAGAAAGCATGTTTACTGCGAATCTTTCAGATGTCAATTTACCAGCGCTGATTACCACCACTTCGTCCCTGACCGCGCCCTGCTCCTCTTCCGCGCCACTGACTACCGCCGCCGCGGTTGTTATTGTTGTAGTTACGACGGCGGCCACGGTTCCATCCACCTTCGGGCTTGGGCTTGTTGGGACGAGGGCCAGCCTCAACCCTTGCTTGGCGTTCTTCGTCCGACAAGTGGAACTTGTTTTCGATTCCGATGAGTTCGCAGAACTGAGCAGTCTGAGGGTTGGTGAATTCAGGGGGCAACTCGTCGGTCGTGATCGGGACGGCGGGATCGAAGAAAGGTGCAGTGGGGGTGAAGTTATCTGGAACCATCATCTTGCCAGCCTTGACGACGTTTTCTTCAACCCACTGCTCCGCCTCTTCGATAAGGGGTTTGTAGAATGCTTGGCCACGGTCCGGCTGCATTTGAACGGCGGGATCGCCCAGCTGCAGGTCGTCGGCGAAGACGCGAGTGATAGCTAGCCACTCTTTGTCATATTCAAGACAGAAAGGACGAGCGCGTTGGCTACCATTCTGCTCAGAAACAATCGGAATCTCGAGCAATTCGAGGAAATGGCGCTTTGG